CCATCAAAAGGCAAGGAGAGACACTAGTGCCAAGACTTTGGAATTCTAACAAAAGCTGGAAATCAAGATTATTTTCTTTTATGATTCTGATACGGGGTCCTATACGATTCAGGGATGCACTTTCAACATGAATACATTTCCAATAGAATTTGAATACAAATCTGATACACTCTGGATACAGGTATGGATTCACATGGCAATCCAAACCTTGGGCCCCAAATACAATCTCGATACACTCTGGATACACTGTCGATACGAAAAAATCAAGAATACGCGCGGCGACACGAACCCTATCTAAATCGTATCCGAATCATATCCGAATCGTAGCCAAATCGTATCCAAATCGTATCCAAATTGTATCCAAATCATATCCAAATCGTATCAAAGTCGTATTTTTGGTATTCCGAATACGAAAACCTCGAAGTTTGGCTGCCGGGAATACGATTGAAACTGTACCGAAACCTGTATGAGAACCCATATTCGTGAACCCATATCAAAACCATATCCAAATCATATCCAGATTGTATTAAAACCGTAAAATGCAATCGTAAAGCGTATTGGTCGTTCATATCCAAACCATATCAAAACCATATCGGGAAATTATTTGCTGAACCACCTCGCTTCTTAACTTGGCGGGTCTTGGCACTAGTGAGCACTTTGCCGTTACCTAGGCATCATGCGGGTTTCTGGCAGCGCCGCGCTTTTTCATGTTTGATGGCTAGAAGCGACACCACTCGATGACAGATGTACAGTCCAAGCCTTGCAGCATGCTGGGTTCAGCCACAGAGCAGCAGAAGCCTTGGCCGACGTGGTGGCTGCTACGGTGTCACATTGAAGTTCAGCAACGAAACAACTAGTGAGGTATTGTGAGGTCTCTCGGCTCAAGCTTGCTTTGTCATGGCGCTTGCTAGTGTCGAGTGGGAACCTGGTCTTCATACGGATTGTTGTCCTTAAATCCAGTGCTGAGCGCATCAAGCCCAAAGACCTTCATGCACTGCGCAGGAGCTTTTCCCAAGGCCTCATGTTCTATGGTACACGAGGTCTTTCTGCATCAGCACTGCTGGCCCTGGGCACAAAACTTCATAAAAGCCTTGGTGCTCTCATTGCACTTGTACATCATAGCATCACTAGGTCTGCATTGCGTTCAAGAAGCGTGCTGTCTTGCGTCTGAGTATTCGTGCATCTTGAGATGGCCAGCAGCTAAATTCAAATGCACAGTGCGCTCGAACTCGTCCAGCTCGTCGTCTGGCACCCTTCCACGCCTGTGCACTTGTGCTGCTGCACTTTTGCAGGACACGACTGGTCGTCGGAATGATCCAAGGAAGGGGCTCTTCCGTTGCTGCGGCTAACGCCTTCTGCCATTGAAGTAACGCACTGCGGGTGCTGTCAGGTGCAGCCGCGGACCAAAGCTCCGCAGCTGTTTCCCTGTATGACCTGGCTGCTGCCAGTGGGTCACGTGCCTGGCAAGAACACAGGATTTGGGGAAATGTTTGGCTTTGGAATGGCGAAATTTGTGCTAGGAAGCCGGCTGGAGCAAATGAAGATCCTCTCGCTCCCAAGGTCTGCTTGATGTGACAGACTCCTTGGTGAGCAATGGGGACCTTACAGTCAGGGACCTTTGACTTTGACGCTTTGCGTAGTCTGTGCTACAGTGAGCATAGCCCGGCAATTGCGTGACCATGTCACAACTCATGTGAACTACAGCCCTATAGAGCGGCTAATTACGCGGAGGCGTGATGTGAAAATCGAAGCTCCACTGCCTAGCTGAGCGTTGCGTGAACAACTCTTACAAGTGAGCGCGGGGATCCGGCTCGCACGTATGTTTCAATCGATATGAAATACCTTTGGTAGGGCGGCTGTAGCCCAACACATATAAACTACGACAATTGACTATACAATCTCCTGGAAGGAGAGCGATAGATATGAATGTGTTTCCGGAACCACTTGAGGGCAGCTTGGAACGTTCGCAGGTCTTCGGCAAACGTGAAAGCTTCAAGTGGCAAACTGCATGGGCAAGATTCCCTCATGGCAAACCAAGGCCGCTTCCCAGCCCGAAACTTATTGGTGTTGACAGGAGGTCTCAACCCTGTGCTGAAAATGAAATTCACCAGAAGCTCTGTCATCGACGTGTTGGCGTGAGAGTGGCTCGATGCCCATTGCAATCTGTTTGCCCAGGCCAGCAGCGCACTTGCAAACTGGTAGGAATACGGACATTTTCTCAATGCATCATCATCAACGAGTGCCACATGCGAAAAGCAGCTACCCGACACATCCAAGACTGCGATGTCAAACCGCTGTGTTACGCGAGCCCCCGTTCTTTTAGAAAACTCATACTGGGCACATTGAATGAGGAAAGCATGGTATCGTTTAACCACGCCCTTCAACTCATGCTGCTTGGCATTCATCACCCTCAACTGGCGAAATGAGAACAACTCAGCATTTTTCACTGCTCCTTTCGCTGCGGAGTCAGCCAAATTATTATAGTGGCGGCAAATATCCAAAAAAGGGGGGAGCTTGGCATTCAAATCCACGTGTGCTTTGACCTTGACAAACGAAACCGACCCCCCTGGCCTACCCTCCATGAGCGTGTCAAAGACCTCCCACAGATCCTGATGTTTCATGAGCGGCGGATGGGAACCTTTAAGAAGACAATCACCGTCGTTCTGCCGTCTGCAAAGCACCTTTTTTATCTGATGGTAGCTTTGCTCCACCAAGCGTAGGAGAGAGAGAAGGAGAGAGAGATAGAAAAAAAATACATAAAAGCAGCAAGTCGCAACAGCTTAAGTCTCAGGAAAGCGGACTCCAGGACACTTCTCACAATAGTGCAGGGAAGTAGAGCCATGCGTGTGACAGATGGTGGAAACTGTTGGAATCCTTGCAGATAAATTTTGGCAGGAAGCGGAACAACCTGATTTCGGTGCAATACCCCCCATAACGGCTTTTTTTTGCAAATGTAGATATATCCTGGCAGTAGCCCATGAACAGAACCAGAAACTGCTTCGAGATTTTTCGCATGTGGCCGGAGAGTGCCTGAGGCTACAGCAAAGAGCCCGGCACAGCTGCACGCAGCTGCAGATAGTGTGAAGGCAACAAGGTCAAGTGGTCAAGTTGAACATCTTCCCTGACATCCGCTGGTGTAGATGATGCCAAAGTAAGCTAGAAGAGTGATAGGCTGTGTTGTGCTTACTGGACTGCTCCTCCGTTTTTTAGGTCTTCCATGAATTCGCACGCCAGTCGAACCGGGCATCACAACACGATTGCGATCGGAAATTGCTTGGGCGCCAAGCGAGAGAGACTCCGCTTGCCAACGACTCTCCGCAGACCATCTGAGAGAGCTGTGGACCTGTTCCTAGACATCTGTGCTAAATCGAAGAAAGCCTTTCCCATCAAATATCCAAATCATGCAATGACTTGCGAGCGCAAGGAAGGAATTCGCCTGAGCATGCTCACGCAGAAAACAGAGATGGCAAGGCCTTCTCGAGCGGATGCTGCTACATACGTAGCAATCCTTTCGTAGGTTGACCCCGAAGATCCACAAATGAGAGCATGCAGCGCAAGTACCACAAAGCTACATAGAATTTCGTGCAAGGATTCGTGAGTTTAAGACGTCTAGCTCAAACCTAAACTGATGTTGTTTTTGGCATGAGTGCACAACTAGCATAGTGGGCGACATCCGGGTCCCGCAGCATGGATGGCGGACCTGATCTCTAATTTGACAGGTGCGCAGCACTCCCGGATCGCAGCTCAGCTGAAGTTTCACAGCCCTTGGGCTGCCAGTTGGGACGCTGGCTTGGCCGCGGTGCGGCGAACGACCGCTCCCAGAGCAAACATGACTAATCATCTCGTACAGGGCGTCTTGGCCCGGCACTAGTGCCGCTCCCATTCGACCTCAACACATGCAAATTCAAACAAACATGCAGAAAGCATCCTGGCCATTTCATGACCCGAAACATTTCTGAACTTACTGAGCTTTTTACAAAAAGTTGCAAAGCAATGGAGAATATCAAATGTTGGTCGCAGCCCTGGCCTTGGCATCGGGATGGCATCCTTCCAGGGGGACAGCTTCTAATCCACTCGTGCTTGCCGAAATGCAGAGCCTTCCGCATCTTATTTGGCGAGCAGGCCTTGCCGTGTAGCAAGCTGGTCTGCACCACAAATCATCTTGGTGCATTGCCCCAACATCACCCCTATCAAAAGGATCTTTGCATCACATATCATGTGCGTGGATCAACTGACCAAGCTCTTCTCAGAATTGCAACACACAGGCACCTTGCACGGCTTCGCTTTGAGAAAGCGCTAGGCGCACCGTGCGGCGCACCATGATGAAGCTACTTCATGACACTTGCGATGCAGAAGATTGCAAGGCGCTGCAAGGCTATTTCATCAGGGCAGCCCAAGAAATTTGTTGCAAGGCTCACTGACTGACAGGCAGAATGAAACGGAGATCCTTTGATACCCCTGGAGCCGAAAAAACAAAGAATCATGGCCAGCTCGCATTTGGTAGTTGCCACAACAGCCCGGTTCACGGACAGCTGCAGGTTTCATTACCTCTTTTCGTTTGCCGTCGAGACTTTGGGTCGGGATCTGTGGCTTTGATGCCTGTGACACCTGCCCAGAAGGATCCTCCCGAGTCCAAAGTGCGGGTTGTGGTGCAAATGTTGGGGGTGTTGTGTTCGTTGCCTTTGCTCCTTCCTGGGAGGCCGCCTCCTAGCTGAAGGACATCATCTGACCTCACCACATGCCCAGAAGGAGAAGTTACCTGCCATGAAGCATGCATCCATGTTCGACTTCACATCTTGCTACGCTTGCTTAGCAGGCAGCCGTAATTCCAGCTAACACCACAGCGCTCCCGCTGTACCGACAAATGTTGTGATGAACCATGAGTTCTTTAATGAATCTGCAAAGAACCTATGTATGCGCAGTGTTGCTAAACTTTGGATGAAACCGTGTCATAACAAAGACATCGTGGCGTGCCTTCCTCAGCGCTGCCATGTCCAACATCAGTCTGTGCGCCGCCGGCCATCATCGGGATGCTTGAAAACGCCTGCCACTTCACAACTTGTCCAGCATTCAAAAATTGGAAAAGCAAGTGGTTCTCAGCAAGTCTGAGCAAGGCACAGTCCCGCCGCTTGCAGTCAGCGCCATATCTGCACGGCTTGCGCTTGAGGGTGTCATAAATTGCATCCTGAGACAGCATTGTTGGGTATGTGGCCGCAACTACTGGTACTACCTGCTGTGCTGAAATTACTTACTGGGCACGTTGCCAGATCATCAGCAGGGTGTCTGTCTCGACCTTGGCTGGCATGATGAGTCAGCATGGCCAATGATGTCGAGCTTAACCGATGACATCCTACGAGACCTCTGAGCTATTCGCAGGTATCCCCACGCCGGCAGCGCCCCTGAACGTAGGGGATGCAAAGCTGTGTGCCTGCCAGTATGGTCAGGGCTTGGCCCAACAACAACCCCTTTTGAACGTTGCAGCCATGCCAGTGTCTGAATATGCAGCTTTGTTGCCGTCACCTTTACCATCACCTGACATGAAGTGACAGGTTGCTATGCAAACTGCCCCCCTGCACTTCTGCTAGCCTTTGCCGCCAGCGCGGTAGTCTCTGCTTCGGCTTCTGGGGCGACTGGAGGATCTGCACAAGCGCATGTCCACGGACTGTACAGGCGCGTGACTCTGAAATTCCCAGCTAAAACTACCACAGGAGCTCTTCTGTTGTAAGAACCGGGTCCGTTGTCTATGGGCCTTCTCGATCGGCTCCTGCATGCGCACGAAAACCAGCTGAATGCGAGGCCGGTGGTTGCCACTAGCCAAGTAGGAGCCCCAGGTCCTTCCGCGGCGATCGCTATCGCGCCTGGCAAGACTTGCCTTTAGTCAGCCTTCATGACCCGTTGTACCATCATAAGCCAGTAGCGTAGGGCTGCAAGGAGACGCTCAGGACTACAATTCTGTACTGAAAGCATCCTGCTGTTTAAACGCGGTCGGGCAGGTAGGGTGGAGTTGCTGAATAATTGCGCGTCACAGCTGGAATACCCTTCTTCACTGTTTTCTTTGCAGTGGTGAAGCTGCTCACATGTAACGAGTCGGGCCGTGGTGCGAACTGGATCAAAAAGAAAACAACGACGTAACGGATCAATGGGGGGTCATATCGGATCACCTGGCAAGGCAGGAATCGGATCAGGCCCAAGCCCAACTCGGATCAGGAAATTGGATTGGGTAGACATATATGATCCGAGCACCACCCCGATCCCTGTGAACGTCGACACTGTTTGAAGGAGGAGCTCAAAGTGACGAGAGTTACGAGGATGGCAGCTTTTAGGCGTCAAAAACGACGACAGCTACGAGGATAGCGAAATCCTCCAGGGGCCCCATCCCTCTTATGTTGACACTTTTGAGGCGCGACGAAAGCACGAGGGGCAAAAACTGAAACTCTAAGCCCGAACCGAGCCCCCAGACCCTAAACAAACTCGAACCGTGAACCATAAACAGCCCCGCCCTAACTCTGAACCCCAACAATGGTTCAGCCCAAATCCTAAATCCTAAATAGCCTCGCAAAAGCGTGGGGGCTGCGCCCCCCCAACTCCCCTGCTTTTCAACATGAACCCGCATTATAAAGAATTGTATCGCGAATCTTCATCCAGAAGTGCCGAAGTCCGGTCCTAAATGGTTTGCAAATGAGAGGGTGCAACCCCCGCTCTTTCAAATATGGCCCGTATCATAACAACCTTAATCCCTTGACACCCAGAGCCCTAAAAACCCTAATCACCCTGAACCCTCAAAGCCGTGAACCCGGAACACCCTGAACATCCCTGAACCCTAAAACCCGAAGTTCAAAAACACCCAAACCCTAAAAACGATAAATTCCAAGAACGCTCTAAAACCCTTAACCCTAACAACCCTAAATCCAAAAGTCCCAGACCATGAAACCCTGAACCCTAAAAAGCCAAAAAAAACGGAACCACAGAAACCCTAGACCCTAAAAACTCTGAAGACCGTAAATTACACCCTAAAATCTCGAAACCCTGAACACCCTAAACCCTCTTTTAAACACCCTAAACCCAAAGAGCCCCACCCCCTAAAAAACCTAAAACCTAAAACCCAAACAATCCTGGACCCTAACAACCATGACAACTCACAACACCTGAAACTCCTGAAAAGGCCTAAACCCTACAAACCATAAACCCTCAAAACCCAAAACCCTCAAAACCCTAACAATCTAAAACGCCCTTTTGCGCTGCAGGCTAAGGAATCCGAAGCTCTGAAACCCTTAAGCTGAACAGCCTGTAAATTCCTTACAAACCCAACAACCCAAAAATCCGAAGAAGCCTAACCCTACAGACCGTAAACCTCCCAAAAACCCCTAAAGCCTAGAACCCCAAGAACCCCAACCCCTAAGAACGTCAAACCCGAAACCCCACAAACCCTTCACCCGCAGACCCTGAACCCCCAATTCTGGATTTCATTACATAAATACGTCTACTATCTGTAGTTACTTATATATATATATCTATATATACATGTGGAATTCGCGAAGGAATATATACGAGCACTACGATGCCAGATAGGGATCCCAACGGATTTCACGCAAATTACGGTCTTTAATGCATGTTTTACTAGAGTTTATAGACTGATAGAAGTAAGCCCAAAACATTGAATGTTCAGATGGCAGATGAATGCTTGCATACTCGAAATTTTGATTTGAGAGAGGATTATGTATAAGTATCTTTCATATCATCCGTACAGGATCTTTGTTACCAGGTTTGTACTGCATAGCTTTTAGCCTTTGTATCAAGGATTCTCTGAAATGTCATTGCTGCGGTGTATGCATAACCCTTTTTGCTTGGAACCCCTGTGGAACGCGGTACCTATGAGCATTTGGGGTCGCACCAAAATATATATGTATGCATGGTGCCCTGAATCCCTTCCCGATCTTTACAGTTATCTTCTCGAAAGCACTGCAGAGAATGAGGCACTTGTGCCTGTACTTTAAACATATGCTTGTTACAAGGATGGACGAGATAACAGAGTAAAGATCCCACTATAGAACTTCCTTAAACCTCGAAATGACATATCGAACGCTACTTAGCAATGCTTGTCATAATTTTATATCTTCACTCCATTAAATGAGCTTAACGAAAACAGTTATAGTATGAAGTCGTGAACAAGTTTGTCATATACGCCTGCTAATGACACCCAACAGAATTCCTTACGGAGCTCACCATTAACGTTCACTCGTCCTTTATTTGTTGCTCCCATTTCTAGTGATGTTCTTGCCTAATTAATATCCAAAAGATTTCTTAGTTTTTTTTTTTACCGAATTATCATTACTAAGTGGAACAAAGCACTTTCTAATTAGTATATGTATATATATATATGTATTTCTATATTTCAAAAGAGACCCCAAGAGAGAGGGATAAACTAAATGGTGGGAAGGGTTGGATTCTGTAGTATTTCGTAGGAATCATTAAAGGGAAGGCGACCAGGTGGCTCTGGAGGGGGGGCTGCCAAAAATTAAGGCCCTTGTCTAGATAGCCAATAATATATATATATATATGAGCCC